TCATGTGTGACCAGTTGAAAACGCGAAACCATTTTAGGAGGGTAAGCTACAAAAACTGAGTCAGAGGTCATTCACAAAGTAAAGTCTTGTAAATTATTTTCGCCTTAAACTTATTTGTTTTCTAAAAATTATCACTAACCATATTTTCCATAAATATACGTGAATTACATCTTTAGCTCATTACTCAAACAGAAACTAGAAACATTTGTTTTCTTACAGCTCAGGATCGAAGGGCAAATTATAAGGAAATCGTGGGAAATAATATGCAATTATAGTAAAATGGCTAGAGATAGGCGTAAAGTTATCCAGTTATAGTTATTTTTCGCAGAATTTTGAAATTATCGTTGGCCTTGCGAAAAGTAAGAATATTTTAATTTATTCGAAAAGAAATAAAAGCGCTATAATGAGCCAAAGCCCAATAATAAGTACCTTACAGTTATTCATATACCGACTTTTCGAAATTATCGGTATTAACTGGGAAGCGTTCATTCTTGGGTAAAGACGAGTCAGTCTACCAAATTTCATCAAAATATCTGAAAAATTTCGGCTTATGGGTTGAAACACACAAGAAAACAAGGTCGATAAAAAAACAGACGATCAGATAAGACCAAATCGATTCAGAAATTGATTGAAAGATTTAGAAAATGATTCTGAATCGATCGGTATAATAAAAGGTGGATAGATCTCAAGTCCTTCTGAGTGTTATATATATAGAGTATAAAAACGCAAACATTAACATGAGTTTCCCTAAGCCCAGAGGAGTGTAGGGATGTCTGTCTACAAAACCAGTGCTGCCATATATTTAGAACAATTACAGCTACAGAATGGTATACTTGCTCATCAGTAACAGGGGATTTGTTAAAGAACAAGCAAGCGTTAAATAAGCCCTTTGCTTTTTGTTATCCATGAACAATTCCAGGAAATATTTGGATATCTTTTGTCGGTCTACGGTCTGCTGAGAATATCTTTCCTTTTATTTTTTCAATTTGTTTAGATGAACGGACTAGGCCTGTTGACCATGACCCCAATATATTCGGTAGCGTGACGAGTTTATATTATTTGTTGATGAATATGAAGGCGACATTATAGATGACGTTTCGAAAGAACTGATGAGGTCATTATCGTTGATTTGATTTTGAATGTCAATTAGACAGCGGTTGGAATAAACAAGACACAGACCACAAATAGTTAGTAGATAGTTATTATAATAGACTAAGCTTGATTTAAAAGGAAAATCCAGCAGTTTTGATAAAAGAGGCGGTCGTGATGAGCTGACTGCTAAGAATATCTTCAAACCAAACCCGTAATTATCTACAGCAATATTGGAATTTAGGCTCATATCCAAAAAAAAAAAAAGCAGTTTCTCAGACATATTTACAAAAACTTTGCACACTTTTTATTATTTATTGTTACCAGGCAGTTACTTAGTCGCCAATAGTTCTTTTTTTTTTGTCATTAAACCTTCAAAATCGTATAAAATTTCTTAGTAAATGTACATAAAGTGTCTCGAAGGGTGAGAATACTGAGAGCTGATAAGACGTCAGAAAAACTTGTTTATTTTTTAAAACATAAAATATTCTTTACAACGGACAATGAATTCATTTAACTTTTTAACAGAAACTGAATTTCTCGCTCTGTTTTACAACAATAAAAAAATTATCTAAATATTTTTTTTTAATTTTGCAGAGAATTTTCATAAACTTAACAATCTTTTATTGTTTTATTTATGCATACATGAAAATATATGGGGCAGTGACTGTGTGCTTAAGGAAAGCCCTTAAGAGATATTATTAGCTTTAAAACGAACCTTGGCTGTAATTATTATCTCAAGTAAGTATATACATATATATATAAACATATATATACGTACATATATAAACATTTGTATATATGAACATATATATATAAAGAAACATATATATAAATATAAAGTCATATATGTGTGTGTGTGTTACGTATAAGTTTCTTGTTTATTGTAAAAGTATAAACGGGCTGATCGAGGCTATACAACTACGACAATTATTTCGCATTAGATTAGAAAAACAACTTTCTATGCCTTTACTTCTTATTAGGTAAAGATATATATTAGTCCGACTGAAATTGTTTGCTTTATAAAACGTAATGGACACATTCAATTTTCCCGAAATCATATATATAGGTAACCTAAATATTGATGTTTGAACGCTTTCAGTTTCGGTTTTTTACAAACTTTCATTCAGTGTGATATCAACGCTTAACCAGATGGAACTGCATTTTTCTCATTTTTTTCTTTTTCTACGACCAGCCATTCAGGAGAAGTTTCCTGTATGTGTGGGCACGGTCGCGATCAGGAAGAGTTATAGCAAGAGGGAGTGGAGAATGTCAGTAGTGTCTGGGAACGTTTGACATAAATATAAAAACATCAAATACAGTGGGAAAGACTAGGTAAAAGCACGACGAGTAACGATAGTGTATTGTGCAGTATGTAGGTAACTCTAGGACGTAGGGGTGGAAACGACGAGAATGCCACATAATCCTCTTTGTGGACAACCTTCTTTTAACTTTATAGAAAACTTATCCTGGATGTGCCTTTCTGCAAGCATAAGACACCCCTCGTTACGCAAAAGATCGAGGGGATTCAGTATTTGAGGCACACTTTCGTCGCCCATAAGCATCTAAAGCTTTCGCTGACTGCGATTGCGGACTTTAGTTTTGGGTGGATATAAGCAACGTAAATAGTACAGAAGTCGGCTGCAATGAGGTATTTTTGGAATCGTTTTAAAAACCAAAACACCAAAGGAAAATGAGTGATACAAGCTGCTGTCGTCTGCGAGCGAGTTGCGAGGATTTTCCGTTATGCACAGAGGATCGTTAATTTAACCCAGGAAGAGAGAAAGCACTTTTAACTGGATTAAATGTAAAAAAAGGAACTCGAGCTACGGAAATGATTAAATTAGCTTCAAGAGAAAACGTAGTAAGCTGCGAAATCGTCAGAAAGTGGCTTACGAGATTTCAGGAAAAAATGTTTTGTGTTGTCGAAGCTTCACTGCACCCCGCATATTCTACAGACCCGGCCGCTTCCGATTATCGTTTATTGACATTCGATGTAGTCTTTAAACAAACGAATTTCTACCGCGGCGCCCTATAAATATCCGAACACCGTAGGTAATTGGAACGGGTATTTCGATTATTAAGCGTTGGAACAAGTGTGTTTTAAGTTGAATTTTATCAAAAAACAAAATGAAAATATTTGTACACGCATTACTTAACGTAGAGCCACATGTTGTTCGATTTTGGTTATGACTCTCTTTGAGTCCAAAATTTAAAAACCCCCACCGAAAATTTTCATACAAAGTACTATAATTTATGGAGAGATGTATTTCGTTACTTGATTGGCCAAATGTAGGCGAAAGAATCTAAAAAAAAGGTGACATATCAGTTCAAAAGAAGCCACCGAAAACCGAACACGCCTATTTGAAAGGGTGCGTGAGCTTTGCAGAACCTTTGCTAAATAGTTTGAGTTATTAGAAGCAATAAAGTAAAAACTAGTTAGTTGAGTTTGAAGGTGGCGTAAAATTATAGTCACCATTTAGGTTTTTACATAAACCCTTTTAACTCGTTAAAAAGCTGGTAATTTTACCGACATTTGTCAAGCCTTATGGATAAGAAATTTCTCGAAGACCGATTTAGGGCATTAAAGTTTGCCATTTCTAATGAGTCTGACGAGTCAATGCAACCATTTGTTAACATAACTAGGAAAGAGAAAGTTTTTCTTTTTTCTAGTGAAGAAAGGGCTAATAATAGCCATCCATTCCCATAGAGTGGCGACTTCTAGCACCAAACGAACGAACCCTGAAATGTTCGGACGGTTACGATACTCTCACTCACAGTGCAGAGCTTCCTGTCAAATCTTACAAACTTATGGATCAATTTTGTATACCACTATACTCTAGCGATGGAAGTAACAAGAATGTAAAAGTGTACATAAAATGTTTTGTAAATAAACGCGCGAATGCGAGCTCGTATTTTGTAATAAAAAGAGAAGAAAAAAAAAAAAGAATAAATAAAAGAAAGCGGTAACCAAAAGCAAGCACGCAAGAAAATCATAATAAACACGTGATTACATGAGATGATTATTGTAAGTAGATCATGCACGTATGTGGAAAGACAAACAATCCATAAGAGAAGATATTTTTTATATTTATGTAAATAATTATAATGAAAATTCCGTTATTCGACGCGCAGAAGAAATACATAAATAAATAAAAGTAAAAGAAACAGAGAGTGTTTTGTTTCGGTTTTCTCATGTCTATCGTACATATAAAGAAGACAAAACGGCGTCATGTATATATTTATAGCTGATGACGATAATGATGATGAAAAAAACAAAAAAAAAAAAATTAAAAACACTATATATTCACATTCACAGCATATTCAGCGATGATGTTAGTACACAACTCTAAATAGTATTATTATTATTATTGTTGTTGTTGTTGTCGTTATTGTTCCTTTTTTGAAAGATACGTTTGTTTGTTTGTTTGCATGTGGCGGCGAATACATTCGTTCGTTAAAGATAAAAGTGGAATGTTTGTGTTTATATCCGAATAAAAAAATGTATTAAGTCCTTGAACTTTGACATTAAGACAGTAAGTCAAAAAGACAAAAAAAAAATAAGACAAGACAAATAAAATAAATGTTCGTTCAAAATTAATACCGCTCACATTATAAAGAAGATTCCTCGTCAGCTCCTCTTTCAAAGAAAACAGAAACGTTTTCAGCGCATAATTTCGTTTTTAATTCTATAAATCAATATTTATCCCCGCGATTAATACCTTACAGTATATGATAGTAGACAAAGCCTTTTCGTAACGTCATCATTCCTTTCTTAAGCAATAGCACATGTACCACTTTTTCCGAATTTCCCTAATGATTACCGTCTTTCGCATATTCATAAGAAAGTGTGTGTGTGTATGCATATGTATACACGTTTATTTTGCATTTAATTTCAAAGAATAACTTACCGATGATGATGATGTTGTTGTTACATGTTGGGTTATGCGATTTAAAAATTTACGAAACGATGAACGCCTTAAAACGCGATTGGAAGCATTCCCTGTGGCCGTTGAGGAGGTTTGAGTGTTAACTTTACCATTAACATTTGTTGTCAGCTTTGATGATTTCTTGCCTTTATTATTGAGGTTAACATTATCACTTGACTTGTCGTCTATTTTAGTTGATTTAGCTTGCATGGCTGGTTGCACTTTTATACCTTTATCATCGTAACTACTTAACGACACAAAACTGCCTGAACGTTCCCGACCGCCGCCCACACAAAAAGATAAAGTGGAACTTTTACCAATCACACTGGCGACCCGATTGCTGCTAGCGGCGTTTGCAACAGCAGCATAACCACCACGATCGGAATCATTCGCGGTTTTTAATTTACGCGACCAACGAAAGGGATTGCGTGGCATAGAGAAAGCGCGTCTTATCTTTTTGGCCGCATTACAGGCTACTGCGGAGGCTTGAGAGTTGGGAATGATGATTACTTGTGGAGGAGGTGACGATTTAGGTAATTCCACACTACGCATTGCCATGACATTAGTTACATTAGCTGTTGTTATTGCCGCGTTGGCGTTGCTTCGATTGTGGGTGCTTGTGGTGCTGATTTTATTGCTATTATTAATGACGCTCGAAGCGGTGTTCGTAATAGTAATAGTGCTTGCTGCTGCTGTCGTTGTTGTTAGAGTGTTAATGTCGGCCGATTCACCAGAAACAGAAACAGGGTCAACGGCTGCAGCCTCGCTTTTTACCGCACAACGTACATCTAGAATAATTTCTGTATTTGTTACCATTGTATTATTTCAACTTATATATTCACATCAATTCCCTTTGATATGCAAGAAATTATCGAAAACTGCTTTTTTTCTTGCAAGGAAAGCACAAGCACATTCAGCCTACACACAAAAATACTCAATCAGGCGAGACGTACGATTTTTTTTTTTTACTTTTCTTCACTTTATTTCATATGAAATATTACTTGAACTTATTTCTTATATTTGAATTTTACTTTATTTAATAAATATATTTAATTATTTTCGCGTACTTTTTACAATAATTGCATTTATTTTGATTTTTTTTTTTTTTAGTTATTATTTTAGTAAATTAACATTTCATATTTTTATATATTTCATTAACAAAGAGAAAAAAGCGACTGAGAAAAACCTAGAAAATGCAATTGTTAAAAAGTGGTGATTCGCTCTCTACTTCTTTCTCTCTTTTTCAGACACAAAATTTTACAATAACAATGCCAACAAGACGACCCAAAGAAATTTTCTCTTAGAAAATTCAGAAAATTAGGTTCAAAACGATGAGCGGTGAAGAGATGAAAAATATATATATATATCTTTTTCATGTTAAATTTAACATGAAGCGGGTACGACTGATTAGAATTTTTCTTTTTGAAAGATTTCTTTTTTTTTCTTTTTAATAACACCACTTTCTGCTTTCAGGGCTGCATTTAAAAATGACCATCAGAAAGAGTAAACAATTGTCCCCATTATCGGGACATAATTACCCGAAAGAAATAATAACAAATGGGAATATATTGTACAAAATTTACAAAGCTATTGCCCACTAGATGACGCTTATAATAGTATACTGACACTTTATACAAAAAATAGTTCAAATTAATCTTTTATTTCAACAAATAATTCACTTTTTTATATAAATGTGGCGAACGTAGATAAAATTAGGTTTTACTTTTTTATAGATTGAAATAACAATACTCTGAACTACTGAAATATCTTGCGGGAGAAACAACAATTTAAAATAATTGCTAAGATTTCTGGCAAGACACGATAAGAAAATTGAATCGACAAGAATATGAACTGATCATGAAAGCGCCAATCCGTGTCAACCCTTTTGATATTTTTTTTCTTTATTGTCTCCCAGTTAATTACTGTTTTTATTCAAATTAAAGTAAACTTTGTTGTCTTAAAAAAATACACATTTTTCGAAATAAATGGGTCTGGACCTCTGTTAATAATGTAAAATATGAGCAACCAACAGAAAGAAGCATATAAGAATTCACTCTCAAAAGGTATTTGATTTTTCAGGGAAGGGGTTGTAAATACTTCGACCTCTTGTAATGGAATCGTATTGCCTATGTGCCCGGTCGTTTACCTAACACTCGCTAAGAGGAGTCTTAAGTGCTTCAACGGCAAACTGAAAAAAATTGGAAAATGGAAAAATTTTGAAAACACTTTACACGATGGAATTGACACTACGGCTTAAAATCTCCTTGCTGCAGCGAAATCGGTGTTTTTAATGCAGATCTGCTGGTATCGGTCTGCAAGGCGAAAATTAAATGGCAACTTGGAGATCACGTTAATACTTAGTATTAGATTTACCGGATCTCTCCGTTGCGTTTACAACATATAGGATGATTCATGTTAGCATTAAGTAAAAGAGGCGATTGTGTACGCAGGGCTGCTGATGACGTTCATTTACGCCACCGCATTCTGTACAAATTCTAAAAGGAAAAAAATGTCACAGAAGTGCGTAGCAATTTATTGAAAGTGTTTTTGTGAAGAGATGATGGTTCGAGAAATTTCAGATAGTTGATATCGAACTTTCTGATAAGCCTCGCTCTGGGCGAGCACCTTCGATCGACAACGATACTGCCAAGATTATATTAGAGCAACGTCAGGGGGTAATCACGTAGTTGAAAGTTACACTGGAAGAACTCTAAATTTTTCTTACGTGATTACGATCCAGTTTTTGACAATATCGTGGATTGCGGGAAGACTTGACTTAACTCAACAAACCAATTCGAATCATAATTTTGAATTATTCCAAGAAAGAATGGAAGTTTTCCCTGGGATATATTAATAACGTTTATGTAATTCCACAATTCGTCTTTTATACGCAATCTTCAAACTAGGAGAAAATTAAAAAGGAACAATTTTTAATTACATCCTGAAGTTATGTTATACATTACGAAGAGACAATTAAATGACAAGATGGTACAATTTTGAAATTTTTTCTGTTAAGTTGGGCATTTAACATAGTTGAATGGCATTACCATTTAAGTTGTTAGTTGGGCATTTAACCATTTAACAGGGAATTTAGCGAGGGCTTTATGTAATTTGATAATAAAAATTGTGGTGGTCTACTTTTAGGCTAACTTGTCAAATTAAATAAGTTTAGTTCGCGTGTTTTCCAAAACACTAAACAACAATTTAGTCGCAACCCAAATTGTTTTCTACTTATACGCATATAATCAGCTGCATCCCAATCGGAATGTCCGACGATATATGTTAGCGCGGAGCATTTGACTCTGACGCACGAATAAGTTCATGTGCGGAGGATTTGACTCTGACCTCTCAGACCACCGCAAGAAGAGCGCGTAGCCAAATAAATTTCCGCGGTGGGTACTGCTGCTTCTGCAGGATCATCTTCGTTTGAAAAACTAAACGGAAAATAGAGCAAAAGCGACCAAGCCAAGGAAGAAGAATCGGAAACAATCAGGAAAACATTAAAAAGAATAAGAATTTCTTTTATATATATGTTCATATATATTAATAAAGTATTTTAAATGTATAATAAACCTATTATATAAATAAAGCTATTTATTTTATTTATATTTAAATATAAATTATATAAATTAATATACAGCAATAGGAAAGGCCAATTTGATTTTCTCAATGACAAATCAAAGCGGTTGAAAAAGCGGTTATTTAAAATTAAATTTTGGATTTAATGACGACAAGTGCTTTTTACGAAATTTTGGGACATTTAAAGCCGAATGTCCAGTTAGGTTTAATTCATCATTAAGAGCCATTAGTCTTATTCTAAACTTGGATTCCACACTTTGCATACACTTCTTGCAACATGACAGTTTGCTCTTTTGTTGTCAGAATTAAGAAAATCTTAAACCATAAGGAGAATGAGAGAGCAAGCAGTCAAATTGCTGCTAATTGCTGCTGAGAGCGTTACTTCTATTCTTCATAACACACACACCAAAAGTCCGTAATATTCTCCTAATTTGAATTTTGAACAACATTTTGGAGAATCTTGTCATTTAGTTGTCTCTAGATTAAGAAACAGCTCCTTCGGTTATCAAATGATTGAATTCATATAATGTTGTAGTTGACTAATATCCGAGAAGGAACAAATCCTCATTCGAAATGAAAAAAAGAAAAGAAAGTTAACTCAAAATAATTAATTTCAATCCATCGCAATGTCGCAAAGAAAGCTCCGCTTTATGTGTAAAGAAGAGTAATATTGTCTTCATATTTGAAATCGTCATGTATGAGCGTGAATGTAGGCACAAAAATTTTGAAATAATTTCCTATAAATTATACGGGCTCAGTGCTATCGCTTCAGACATTTCTCTATATTCTAGCGATTACCATTACGTTTGGACGAACAACAGTTGAATTTTAATAAAAAACAAAAAGCAAGTGAGCTAATGTTCAGCTTAACAGTTTCGTTTAAAAGAAAAACATTTAGTAAATCAATCAAAGTGCTAATAAAAATTTAATATTAGTCTGCATAATCAAAATAAATATATATATATATATATATATATATATATATATAAAACTCTTAATTAAGTGGAAAGTGAGTATTTGTGTAGCCTTTGCGTTTTATCGAAATTTCTTTATCTACGACCAAGTTTTGTAAAAATCTTTGTTTGGTTTTTTTAACTTATTTTTTAACCTTGTATAACTATTACGCGCTTTGTGCCAAATTGTTAATGAATTAAAAAATTTCTCATAAAATGAAAAATCTAGATAAACAAATCGTATAATAAAGAGGAGATAACATTGCACACCTTACCCACCTCTTATGAAGAATTAAGAAACTTCAAAAGTTTATTGTGTACGCTACGAACTGTCAACTTAATAAGACTTCAGCCGCACTTCTTGCAACGTAATATCAAGCAAAGGCCTAAACAACGTGAACTTAAAAGACGTTACATTTACTATCCGCTCTTATATCCCCCCACCCATCTTTTATAGTGCAGATCAATACAGAATCAATTTCTGATTCGGAAGCACATTCTGATCCAGAACCACATTCTGATCCAGAATCACTTTCTGAATCGAACTAAATTTGTTTGTCCGTCTGTATGTCATGCTTTCCTGTGTTGAACCTACAAGCCCCGATTTTAGAATACTTTGATGAGATTTGGTACATCGACGTGATGGGATCGGATTACTTTTTCGACCACTTTCCAATAAAATTCTAATTTTGTCAATTATTTATATGAATAACTAACTATACGATGCTGAACCGTGGCCCTGTGTAATGTTTTTGTTTCATTTCTGTTTATTATTTCGTTTTTTGCTTGGTGAGTTATTGAACAATGTACATAATTCTTTGGCTCGATGGAGGCTGTTATCCTGACATTAGCTTTAAATAGATTTTCTACTTAAGACTTGTAAGCCCCCTACATAGAATATGACAACATTAGCTGACGTGCTTAATATACAAAACCTTATTTTCCAATGTCGCTGAGACATTCATCTCATAGGAACTCGCTTCTCAGAGCGCGAATAAATTGCTACAACTTCGTAAACAAAAAACAACAAAAGTTAGGTAAATGTCTTCTTCTTTTAAAACCCCTTAGAAGGGAGGCTTCAGCAAAGACTTGCTCTTGAAGTAAGTGTTCACCTAATTGGACGTCCAAAATGTAAAATCCCATTAAGTCTAGCTCCTAAAAGCAAAATTACATCAACTCTGCACAAAGCTAATGTTCGAGCCCAAGATCTTTTCCCATCGATCTTTTCCCAACTGATCAAGTTTGTCAAGAAATCCTTGGTCTAAGCATTCGCGAATATGTAAACCGCAGTGGCGTGCTGAACGCGCTGCACGGTTCTAAAATTAAAAAGAAAAAAAGAAGATAATGTTTGCGAAAGTGTGAAACACATTTCATGCTTACCAAAAACACGAATAACCGGCCAGCAATACAGCATGGCGTTCATAGCATTTTCAAAAAAATTTGTCACCCATTTATCAAACATCAATGTCAACAATCCGACTAAAATCACTGTGAAGTAAGCAAGCTCTGTTTTATTTCCTTCTCAGGCAGATAGAAGAATGATATGAAAAAGGGAAGGAAACAAAGTGAAAGCGTTCGAGACGGTTTAGATTATAGAGTCGAAGTCTTATCGAACGGTACTCGTGTAAGGCGTTTTTCAAAGCTGCCCCGTCTGTTCTCTTCTTTTAAGAAATTCTTTAACTGAGCCCAGATTTGTATGCAAAATGCTTTAAGTTTCATTTAAAATTCAAGGTAATTCAAATTCAAAATAATCCTCATTACATTTAGAAGAAAATTACTTTAAAAACAGCATCAGAATGTTCAACTGATAAGCGATGACAGTTAAGACCCAGAATAATAAAACTGCTTTCGTACCGGTTGTAGCTAGATTCGAGAATTAAAACAAAATATCAATTCGATTAATAATAAATATACATATATATATATGATTTTTACACATATATATAAGATTTTTACACATATTTATAGAAAAGTGGTGAACTTATGTACAAATCAGAACAATTGGCGAGCAATCTGTTTCGAATTTGCGCCTATTTAAAAGTATATATATGCATATAATAGTGTGGTAGTGTTAGTGTATATACACGCAGATGAGATAAAGATCATTTAATTAATGTGTTGCAGACAATCAAGATGGTTGCCCTTTTCATTAATTTCATTTTTCCAGTTCTCGTAGTTAGTTTAAAGCAGTTTTTGAAAACTGAATATTTCAACTTTGGTCTGAAATTAGTAAAAAACAGTTTAATAGTATTTTTGAATAATTATTGCATCACATCTTCCGCCTTTGCAGATAATGATGAAATCTTAAATATAATTTAATTATAGAAAGAGGACAGAAAGCAAAAGAAAATAGCGCTGACATTGCTTGAATCGTTTTCTATATGAATAGAACATAAAGATCTGTCCCGAAATTCATTTAAGAAAACTCAATTCTCACCTCAAGGATTTTCGTGTCCAAAAAGCAAGACCAATTTGATTTTTTTTCCAAATCCTTTCATCCAAATCTAATTCGCTGCCTTCACAGCAATCTTCAAATGCAAACAGTTTGGCGCAGTGGAAGGAATTTATATCATTTATTCACAACACCACGGCAATCAAAGCAAACTGTAAATCAACTTGGCCTCATTAGCGACCTTGCCTTTTACGCGACATTCGCTCCAGTGGTCAATATTTTCGACTCATATGCGACCGATCGATGGTCAGAAATCGTCTCGTCACGAAAAATACCTTTACATTATTACACATGACATTTATCATGTGAAATTTGGCACACGTATGTCCGCCCCATCAAATTAAAAAATAAATATATCGATTGTAGATATTTGAAGGCCTCTTTATATAAATGAAAGCTTCCAAAAAAAAACACTATGACCATTGGTACAACCGTTCCTACAAAGATAAATAATTAGAAGGGGTTGTTCTAGTCTTAGTTATTTAAAATCTAGGATTTTTTTATTGTGAATTATGTGAAAACATTACTTTGAATATTTGTTTTCACCAATTTTTCACGTCTTTTTTCCTTTGAAATTTGTGTTGCGATTCTCTTTAACCAGTCTAAGCTTACAACTTGAACCCGAAAATCAAAAAATGAAATCTTATCGCATTAAACAACTGAAGTGATATTAATTATCAATGTGTGTACGTATATGTAATCGGCCTAGTCCACGCTCTCTCCATATTCAAAAAAAAAAGGACTGTCTATTTTGTAAACTCAATAATTATCGACATAATTTATATTATTTATTGTACTTCCTAGCCAAAGTGGAACAATTTGAGTGCAGCTAGACCTCACCGCTGACCAGAGTGGGGTTTATTGTTCCATACACAATAAACCGTTCTGGACTCTGGTGTTGTTTAGGCCCCTACTTTGTGGGGATTGTCTAACTCGCCAGGGGGCGTAGTACGCTTAAAGTGACTTGGGCCACCGTGGGGTTAAGCCTTTCAGGCAGGAACCCACGATAAACCCTTGCTACAAATTCTGTACTTCTTGAAGTCTTTCATTTATTCTTAAAGCTGCCAACAAATTATACAAATCGTTTCGAGAACGCTAGCAGACTTTATAATGAGAATTTCTCTAACAGTTTTGGGCTGTGCAAGATCACCCAAACAGATATTCGTCCTACTAAGATAGCTGAATATTCTTTCCTGTAAGAAAATCCTTTCTGAAGATGCCTGATCAAACTTCATGGAAGAAAGTCGGCGTGTATACACTTTAAGCTCTCTTACAATTCGGAAGCACAAGAAGCAAATCTTGCATTATATTAGAATTAGCGGAAATTCAGAAAGGCAAAGTTTTAAAAGACAGAATATTAGAGTAAAGTTTCAAATAGAATATTAATAAAGAACTTGCCTGTATATTTAAAAAGATTTTTCGCTCTATCACCAAATCAAAATAACAAATGCAAATAGATAGATATGTTATCAGCTGAATTTTTAGTAAACAACCTTGTTAAAAAAGTACCGGACATAATCCAAAAATAAAAGAGTTTCTAATAGATTTTATGAGTTTTTATGTTTTCATGTCCAATATAGAAAAGTTGCAAGAGGTCAACTAATGGTGGAAGCGTTTTTCATTAGCTCATTCCGGGTTCGAACCATTTTATCCCATGCTTGAAATATTGCTTCTCCTAATTTTGCCAATTGTGGCGACGGCTTCCAACTGAATGGTTTCCTTTCAACGTGTTACTAGAACATGATTACTAGAAATCTTTCCAACTCTTCTCCAATATTTGTCTAAAGAGCTTTATTTGTAAACACTAACAAATGGAGTCACACTGCTTGTTTAACGCTTTTATCTTTAGGAAGAACTTGTTAGCAAACTTGAACAGCTGTTGCAAACAACCCCGAATAGACAAAGACCGACCGGCTTATGAGAATCGTTTACTTTTTTTTTTTACTTGTTAGCGAACTTCTATTAAATTTTCCATCCGAACCTTTTTTAATATTTAGCTGAAGAGCTTTCATCAAATTCATTTCTGTTTATTGGTTTTGTCTACAGCAAACCCTTAGCAGCGAGCTTGAACGGTTATTGCAAACAACCCTGGATATAAACCGGGCAATAGACCGGCTTATGAAAATCATTTACTTTTCTTATTAAATTATATTATATTATATATTATGATAGCGCATGTTTGATTAAAAAGAAATCCCGAAACTTTTTTATCAATTACTAGAAGTACTAAAATAACTTGTATTTCGCAGTTTTCGGTGCACAATTTTGATTTCGTTATTTAGTCTCTAGACGCTAGTGGTTGAAGTGTTAAGCAAAAGAAATTAAATTTTGTCGCATAATCATCTGTTAATGAAAATGAAACAAAGTGCAATCATCTGGCAAAAATTTAAATGAACTTAAAGAATTTAAAAAATTTAAATTAAGAGACATTACGCTAAAAATAAATTTCTCTCTATGTGGCATTTTAATAACGCATAAAATTGCAAATTAAAGTTCGTAAAGTTTTTACTATGTAAGTAGGAAGTGTTCTTAAGGCTTTCTTTGTTTTTTTAAAAGGGACAACGCAACTTGCGTTAACTTAATTGAGTTGATTGCCGGTCAGATTATTATGATAAATAAACATTGTATGAAATACGGTAAGCAAATAAATACAAAGGAATCGGCTTTCGACAAAAAGTATTTCGCTTGTGCACGGACGCAAGCGTTGTTGTTAGTGTAAAGAGTAAATAGGAAATAAAAATGTTTTTTAAAACACATTCCAAAAGCTTCTCAAATTGAAACAATGTAATATAAAATTATCTACGGTTTCTGTTTATCAGCCGTGAAATGAAAAAATATTTTTTAATAGAAACATTTTAATCTTTAATAATAAATGGTATAGAATAAACAAAAACTTGCCAACACCAGTTAAGATTTCAGGGCCTGGCGTGCCTACTTCTTTTTATAATATTTTGAGATGTGGTGATGAAAGTAAAATACTTGCCTTCAATTCCAAGTTAACGAAAAAAAAAGAAACAAAACGTTAGCTTCCCTTCAAATAGAAACGAAAAAGACGGAAAGGTACGATTATGGATAATCCAGATTTCTCAGAAATCTCAGCATTTTGCTTTAACCTGCGAGACCGTAATCCATCTTACAGCGGATAGATGGTCAAATAGGCAGACCTAAATCATACCCCACTCTTGTTGACTGTTACCCAGAGAAACACTGCTTCATATTAGTGGGCGAAGGGTATAGTTAGTCATGAAAAGACTTAACACGATTTACGGCATCTGTCACTTTGACGGGTCTGTGATTTCAAGTTCAAAACTTCTGCCTAAGGATGCTGATATCTTCTGGTGATATATAAGTGGTTTTTAATGATTTGATGTAGCAAATCTATATGTATATATTTAGCCTTTTTTTTTTGCATCTGTGCAACGAGCATTTTTTTTTTGTTTATAGACGTGGTACAGCATATAATCATAACAATTAATTTGGCCAGGGAAATAAATTCAAAGACCAAAGCCTTAAAGCATTAGCATCCAAGACTAACTCTGCCGCACTTGAGATCTAAACCCACGACAGTACAGACAGAACGTCCTTAAATCTGTGGTTGTTCACAACAAATTATTCTAAACGCAAATTTTAAATCTTACAAAAAAGAAGATTGCTTAACAATTCTGTGAACAATAGCATAGAACCCAAATTTGACACAGGTGTTTTTTTGTTTTTGTTCCATTTGCAAAACTAGAACTACAAGTATTTCTTCGGTCGCAATAATACTGAGAGCTAGATAGGGCTATAATAACTTGCTATATATATATATATATATATAAATATATATCTGCTGTATTCTTATCTGTTTAGAATTCCACGCTTTGTACAAGCACTGCCGTTCAATTCAGACTTTGATTTCAATCGTCTAGTTTGAATAAATCTGAACTCTTTAAATTTATTTTACCCAATGGAATCGTTGGATTTTATTCGATTGTATATTTATGCATGCATTTGCATGTGACTATATTAACGTGAATTATAATGTTAGGAAAAGTTTCACAACTTTTTCGAATACACAAAATGAGTTAAATAATAAATAATTTTGTCTGCAAACTTCACAGAATTATGGACGCAGAAGTACCGGAGGTACCTGATGGCGGCTGGGGATGGGTTATTGTGGCGGCAGTGGCCTTGATTAATGTAAATACTTTTATTAAAATTGAAAAGAAAACTCTGTCTTTTATGAAAAATATTATTGCAATGTTAGATGACGAATCAATCGATCCTGTCGGTCTACGGTTTATTATTTGGTACGCAATTAACGCACATGCAACAGGAAACATTTACTACCGCTCTGATAACAAATTTAAATAGTTTGGCTTTAAATTTCTCCGGCCTATTTATTGGACCCGCTATTAAAAGTTTTAAACCACGCAGCGTAGCTGCCAGTGGTTGCATTATGGTATCATTTGGATTACTTTTGTGCGCTTTCGCTACCGCAGGTTGGCACTTTATCATAGGCTACAGTTTATTCGTAAGTATACAATTCTTACTTTTAGATAGGGATAGAACAGATGAAAACTGTTTTCATTCCTTCAAGGTCGGCTTTGGTTTGGGTCTAATAGCTCCCTCCACGTTTGTATCCATTAATAGTTATTTCAATTCAAAACGTGGCCGAGCCGTTGGTGTTTCCCTTGCTGGTGCGGGCCTGGGGCAAGTTTTTATTCCCCATATCGTACGTTACTTTTTGGATCATTACGGTTTTCGCGAAGCAGCACTCGCCATGTCTTTACTATCTTTAAGTGGGGTTAGTAGCTATGAAATTTTTATATACATGAAACTACTTTCGATAACGCACTTTTTTGCTCTTTCTTTAGCTTGTAGGAGCGTTCCTTCTTAAGCCTTTAAGTGCTAATAATACAAATTCAGTGAAACACAACAACCGCCAGCATATAAAGCTACTCCTTGAAGACTCGAATCAATCCAGAAAAGATGATATTTTGGAAATTAAAATCAGTACAAACATTGAAACAGGGCAGATTGCCGATGATAAACTTTATCGAAAGCATAAGCAATATATCACTTTGTTGCCTTCCAGAGATAAAATCTATCAAGAGACCACCATTCAAGCGGTGAAACATGAAGCGCTCTTTAAGAAATTAAGAGATCGCCTGATCCAAGCTTTAGACTTGGAATTATTAAAAGATCCGATATTTTGGAATATGATTATAGGCATGGCTCTAGTCTATACATCAACCATTAATTTCTCTATGATATTCCCCAGCTTTCTACAGGTATTTTGATAGCTTAAAAAATCTTTTCCCTCTTTTAATTACTTCCTTCTCATTTAGTACACCGCCAATTTGAGCAGGTCAACGACAGCTGCTTGTATGTCTATAATGGCCGGCGCTGATATTGTTTGTCGTTTGCTTCTGCCTTGCATAACAGACAAACTGAAAATTCCTTATCGCCTAATATTCTTATTGGGTACGATGGGCTTGCTGGTATCCAGAACTGGTATGTCTGCTTGAAAACATATTATAAGAATTCTTTCAATAATGTTAACCTTTTACAGCTTTAGCTGAATCTTCTGATTTTATTACAATTGTGGTCATGTCCATATTTACTGGTATGACCAAATCGGCCACGGTCCTTAACAATAACCTCACCATTTCTGCTTATTGCAAACCGGAAAAACTGCCTGGAGGTTTAGGTTTAAATATGATCTCTAAAGGGCTTCTAGTTATAACAGTGGGACAAATGTTAGGTTGGATCCGTGATCTTACGAACTCATATGTTCTTTGTCTGCATGCGCAAAACTGTTTATTGCTTTTGGTTATCGTTGCCTGGGTAGCAGAGATGCTATATATTTATCGCAAACAATCGTTGGCCAAAAGACGTGCTATTGAAGAAACCAATAATACAACAACAACAAAACCAACTGCAGCTATTAAAGTTTAACACTGTGAAGACTGATTTTTCTTTTCGCTCGAAGCCTGCTTTTAAAATGCATTCGTTTTAAGTATTACTAATAGTAACATAGAATGTAAGCAGATTTACATTTTAGTTTTAACATATGCATACACATAATATTGTGATATTATTCCCATTGTTTTACACCATATAACTCATAAATATTTTACGAATTTTTAAAACTCGTTTGATATGTAAAAAATACTACTTGATTAAAATAAGTTGTTTACTTACTTATCTTTGACTGGCGTATTTTTTTAATCCACTTAACAGTTCAGACGAGCAAGTCCAAGTTTATATCTATCGTATGGCCTAATGGACAGGAACAGTGGCGATCAAAACGGGATACTTGGTTTCAATCCTTAGCGCGATACATCGTATTTTAGTTTTTCCACAACCTACCCCTATCCCTAACTTGTGTTTATTCTTAACCTAGTTAACAGTTTAAGGCCGGTTTGCATTTAAATTTCTGAATTTTGTGGATTTGAGCGAGGCGAGAGGTTTTTTATATATGCCTTTTTCACGAAGACGCACTTATTTTTAGTTCTTTTGAGAGATTGGCGTAACAATTCAGCCTGCTTTGCTCTTCCAATGCCTTACAAGAATTGGTGGCGGGCCCGTGGCATACTTTCCATATATTCATACAAATGCTTGAAATATAATATATAATCTTTTTTATATAAATGTATAAAAAATATGCATTCATCTCCCCTTGGACGTCTCCTCAATAGTTTTATACAATTTTTATGATTATTATTTATTCAGGATAAAACAAATATTCTCTATGAATTGACCATCTTTGTAGACCAAGTCGTACCACTTCTCAATGTGCTCTGTAGGACTTTTAACAAATATTACAGTCCACAATCTCATAAGCTGTTGTGATGTTAAAGCATCTAGACAACCCGACAAATCCAATAGCGCTTCCACCAATTGTGATTCTTGCAAACATAATTCATTTCTTGTTTTCGTGAGGTCGCACATATTAGCCAATATTCCAACCAAAATCTCAGTCGGCGTTGCTGGCGAATATTGAACAGCTTTAGGTAATTGGCAGCTTCGTGTTTGTCGACATTCTGATAAGCGGCACCCAACAATAAAAGTCCCATATAATTATTGGGTTCGTACTTCAAGACCAACTAAAAGTAATTTGGCAAAGTGAACTAAATGAAAATTTTTAAAAACCCACTTCATTTCCTGGCGTATCTCACAACCACGGGCACACAATAGCGGCAAAAGTGCATGCATTAAACTAAACAAGAGGATCCAACCAAACTGATCGAAAAGAAGAATGCCAACGTCCGACGGACTAATACTTTGTTGTACGAAGAGTTTGAACCGAAACTAGAAAAGTTAAGACGTGAGAAATGGGCATACATGGAATACCAGAAAATTTGCCGAGGCATAGACTATTTGACAAGAGTTCACATATCATAAATTATATCATTTAAAATATAAAGCCAGTTTAAAATAAATAGAGACCAATAATAAGACATTAAGAGGTCGTTTGAGACAGCTAAACAAAATATAATAAATAATAATGAAGAACATGAGAGGATTAGAGAAAAAACTAAAAAGTTGCCTTAAGGGAAGTGGAAGTAGAACTGCAACGGGAATTAATGAATGAGGGAAAAGCTGCAAGCAACCTAAAAACTAGTCAAAGTACTATCGACCAGGAAGACAAGAGGTTGAAAAGCGTAGTGAAAAAATCTTTGCAGTTGAAGCAGAACAAAATGAATAAAACTAAAAAAAAAAAAAACGTATTCAAAAATTTAAAAAAGGCCGACTGTGGGGATTCTTTAGCATACGAACAGGCGCAGAAAAAAATAAGAAGCCGTTAGCTAAGCATTCGTTGCGGGACCAATTAATGAGTAAGTATAAAATGGAAAAATTATCAATAGCTTTCAAGGCCGACTATCAATTTCATATGTCAAGCAAAGTCTGAGGCGCAGGCGCTTATTAAAACCCCGGATATGGAATTAAAACGCAGTCGTCAGTTGTTGCATCAGAAGGAAAGCAAAACGCAACTTAATGATCCTGCGTATACGAAAGCCAACAATTTACAAGATGACTCCTTTGAACGTAAAAACGGCAATTGCAGGAGCAATTGGATCGTCGCAATGCTTATAATTGCAGCATCGTGGCCTAGAGCAAGATTTCGATCGTTCCAAAGTTCGCGGCAGGGTTGGTAAATTATTCGATGTATTCAATGAAGAGTATTGCTTGACTTTAATGACGACAGGCGATGGTAGTGCAAGTTAGTTTGAAGTTCCGTAAAACTAACTTCCAAATCATTGTTTGTTTTTTTCTTATTTAGCTTTACAAAAAGGCCAATTGGAACAGCGTGTTACCATTACACCCATTAACAAAAGAACACGCCTCGCCATCCAAAAAGAAGTCGTTGATTTTGCTCAAAATTTGATAGGAAGTCAAAGCAGCACTGTAGCGTGCCATTTGGTCAATGGGTGTTATTTCTGAACTTTTCCCAAAACTTGACTTACAAATAGAAACGTTTAAATATGAAGACTTATTATTCTGCTTTATTAATTTATCCATTAAAAAAGTACGTAACGCTTTTCCTTACCGTATTTTACGTGGCACGTAATTGAAGTAAAGAAGACGACATGGTATCGTTATCTAGGCAAAACGATTAATAATAGTCTTCAAATTCATCGGGAACTTGGGGCTACACATACTTATTTATATGGTAATCAGAAACAGTTCGCGCTTACATTAATCAAATCTCGACACTATTATGTACGAAATATGATCACAACGCAATCAATGTTTCTCATTCTCACTGTAAATTTGTCTTTCAGTTTTCCCAATTACTTTACAGTCTCCTTTCTAGGTTAAAAAATTCTTGAATGCCATTCGGATTTTAGCCAAGTTTTTATGTCATTGAAAATGCAGATTAATACGTTTGCACAATGTTCAATATCTCGTCCTACTAGGAATATTTTCAGTGCAAGTTTACATATTCGACGTTACGGTCCGATGGATAATTGAATTTAAATTATTATTTTTTACAAAGATCTATTTCTCATATTCATTTTACATTGTAAGCATTTTATTGAGCTAAATAATTTGGTTCGCCTGTTAAAGTATTAAAGAAAACTTTACGCTCAATACCATCGGCTGTAATAACACCAATCCGCACCACACCGCCAGAACTACCATCGTGAAACATAGCATGTCTGATAGCTGGAAAAAAGCATAAATGCTTCAGATTTCTAACATAAAATAAAGGCAGATCAAAGAACCTTTTTTTACAAATTCAATGCAATCATCTTTCTTCATGCCTGGACGAAAGAATTCCCTCACGAAACCATAAATGTAAGTAGAACCGGAACCACCGATTGTTAAGGGCTCACGTTTTAACATGCCACCTAAAGGTATAGAATAAACTTGACCACCAAATTTTTTATCCCAGCCGGCCACAATTATGCCGGCGACTAAAGAGTCACGATAATTGTAGCAATAATTCCGAAATTCTGAAGCTGCTTCTGATACCAAAGGTTCTTCACCAGTACGAGTTTCGTGGTAATTTAGAGAATACGATACTATATCGGCAATGGCCTGAGTATCGGCAGCTGAACCGCTGCGACAACAGTAAATTTTGTCAGAAATACGAGTTAACTTATCGGTAACTCGATTGGCGACGTAAGGTCCGTTACTGGTGCGTGAATCTGCGCCAATAACAACACCACCATCAAATTCCACAGCCATTATGGTGGTCTAAACGGGGTGTAGAACATTTCTTTCTTTTATTTTTAAGTTTGTTTTCAATTTACAACTTACGCCGGTACTGAGGGGTTCGTCCATCCATTCGTTACCAAAAACCATATTTATCCTTTTTACGAATTTAAATAAATTACAGAAAAGTGTGAATCGCTCTAAGAATGACTCTTGTTTTAGTTGCTAATATTGCCAAGTAGTAAAGAAATTTTCCCTCAGGTCAAGCGCAATGTTGCCACACCGTTCTAATCGCTATAACTGAAGACGCGAAAAACAAAAAAAGTTTTTTTTCTTTATTTTTTCTTCAATTCTTGATTTCGTTTTTCTGATTATTAAGATTCCAGTTTTTGTTTTATTTATCGTAGTTGTTGTTACGAGTCTCAGTTTTGATTGAATATTTGTTTTACTACTCCATAAACAAAAAATATATCGAACGTATATGCAGCTAAAATTGTTTTTTATTAGCATTATAAAGCGTTTAATTGTGTTTTCAGCTGAACAGATAGATTCCACAACAACTAATTACTTATTGTGCTTTGAATTTTCTTCGTATGCATGTGTGTATGTAGTAAATTTTCCTCCTCTTTACTTTAATGCTGAGGGAATGAAAGTCTTAAACAATAGAAGTTTTCTGTCGTTGAGAAAAAACATAACTGTATCGCTGTTAGCAAGTAGACAATGCTCTAATTGTTAGAAATTTTGGCTGGGATTGGACAAGCCGTTTACGTGGCTCATTAGCCCTGCTTGCTAAAAAGAACAAAGGAAATAAATCGAGAATTTTATATTTAAACAAAAAAAAAAAAAACTTCTTTTTTGGCAGTGTAGCCAATATTCTCCACAGTCTGTACATCTAAAATAAAAGTAAAAATTTTAGTATCATGTTATAAATTAAAAAAATTATTAAACTAAAATTCATTTTATGAACATTCAATGCAAGTCATGTTTATGTACGTAAATTAACTTATTTTTTCTGCTAACTTAACTTTTTAAACTATTTTCTATTTCCTTGTCCTATCTAAGGCGTTTAAGGTGTACCGCTATATTTATAGTTATTTTTTTCAAATTGTTTTTTAGTACATTTGCCCAAAAATAAAATAGAAAAAAAATATTAAAATAATTTACTTGTAAAACAAATATATTTAAAAAGTGATATATATAGCGTCTTATATTCAGAAATTTAAATTCTGCTCAAACTATGTCAGCTCTGTTGATCTTCTATTGAGACATAGAAGAGTAGATAAAAAAGGAAAAAGTAAGTCAAAAAACGTAAAAAAACAAACAGAAAACGAAATCCACCGTCATCGTCACGAAGTTCCACTATTTTAAAGAAATCGCACACAATTATATTAAATTTAATAAACAACTAAATACTTCTTAAACAAATATGTTTAGTAAGAAATTTATTTAAAAAATATTTGATCTATGAAAATCTATAATTATCGCTTCTTAAGAAAAGTCCATTATCTCTTTTCGATAATCATTAATTTAATTTGTTTGATATAAAGGAATTAACAAGTATTGATAATTATCCGTTTTTTCGGCTTTGTTTCAGTCGCTGATGTTTGCATAAAAAAGAAAAGTAGACGAAACGCAATAATCAATATTAGACCACCATACTCAGGTCTTTTCGTATCAAAGACTCTGGATCATACTCAGGTCTGTTCATATCAAAGTGTTTGAATTATACTCAGCCCTTTTCGTATTGAAGCCTTTGGAGACAATCATACTCGGGTCTTTTCATATCAAAGGCTTTGGAATCGTACCCAGGTCCTTTTATAAGAAGCGTTTTTGATTATACTGCAACACGTGAGTTTTTTCATGTCAAGGTTTTTGAATCATACTCGTGCCTTTTCATACCAAAGCTTTTTTAGACCGTCACGCGTTTCACGACCAAATATCACAAAATATTAAAAGTAACGTAAAATGTTAAAAGCAACGCCAAGATGTCAAAAGCAACGCCAAGCAAGATAATAAGATCTGTTAAATTTTCATTTATATAATTTAACTTATATAATACAATAATGAAATAAATGAATAAATATGCATCCATCTGCAATCCAACTGCTGCAGCTTTTATTTATTTTCATCGAAAGTCCTCCAGCTTCTGTTTAGATTCATCGAAATTCCTCCTGCGTTTGTTTCGAATCATAGAACAAGTTGCAGCTTTTGTACATTTTCATCGAAAATCTTGTAGATTTTTTTTAAATACGCATCGTTTACAACTATTAAAGAAGCCGCCAGGTATACACCCCAAGTTTTCACAGGATATAATGAAAAGCTGCTTTAGAAACGCGGAACTTCTGCATAAGCCGCCGTTTGTAAATAGTAGAAACTTCTTTTGAGATAGCGCGATGCACGTTTGCTGGGCGTAAAAGGGGAAAGTGTACATCGGGCTCTGGTTGGTCGCCAGTTAGTGTTGATGATAACGTATGTTTAATATTTTGCTTGCTCGTAATGCTAGCGCTATGTGAAGGAAGAACATAGCTATCTCCAGACGTTGAAATTGTTGCAAATTGGGGAGGAAGACTTCTTTAAGATCCATTGGTAAGTCGCAATTGCATGGCCAAGGCGAATTCTATAAGAGGTTTGGATCATAATTTTCTCAACATTTCTTGGATATAAAAATGGAATTAATTGAGGGTTAATAGAAAAGTAGTGCTTATGATGGTATTGTAGATTTCCTTCCGTAATTTTCTCTTTAACTTTTCTTCCAATAATTCCTTTGCGACGTACAAACAATACTCAATTGCAGATGGTGACTTTCGAATTTTCTTGGGAATAATAATCTTTCTCAGATCTTCACCGAGAATAGATTTGTTTGAATTAAGAAGTTTGGGAACGTTTTAACTTTTAACTCATAAAGTCTATTTCCTAAAACTGGGAGACCAGTTTCATTTATAATATTATTTATGGGCGTCGTCCGAAAAGCATAGCAATACACCGTTTAGGGATGTTACTAATAGATTTGCAGTTATTACCATAAATGATCTTGCTTAAAACAAGCATCTTGGTAAGATAAGCAATAGTGTTAATGTGCACATGGCTTATCCAAGCAACATGTTTATAAAATTCATCCTTATTAAAATCGAATTTTTTAAACGAAGACAGCGTGTTTTTTACACATTTTAAATAGCAGGGAAGAGGTGAAGAGAATATATTGTGATTATGTTCTACGTTAAACGGGAAATTTTGATCTTTTCTTGACACCGCGAAACGACTGATTAGAATTTTATCAAGAATGTTTTCTTTTTATTTTTTTAATAAGACCAATATTTCCAATATTTTCTGAGTCACCTAACGGCCCATTTTAATTAAAATGCTTCTTCTTTCAGTAGTTAGTAAAGATAGTTAATGATAATGATTTACAAATTACGATGAGCAAAAAAGAAGTCAAAAGCATCAGAAAATGGTCATAGTTGAGCCTCTGACAAACGTAAAAATTTTTTGTTGTGGTTGTAATTTCCAGTTTTATTCCGTTATTATTCCGCTGTTGTAAAACAAAAACTGATCTTTGCAATTCTGCTACCATGTTTATATGATCTTTCGACATATTGTAAATCCAAATCTACATATGCGTTTTCCCCTTTATTTCTGGCAATGAAAAAACTCTATTTGGGACGGGTGGCAACATTTTTTTTTCTTTTTTTATTGTGTTATTTTATTAAATAATTTATAAACAAATCCTAACCTAATATAAACACGTATCTAATAAATATATATATTTGTAATAAGTTTAAATATTTTTATGAAAAATGGCTAATATAGCTTTAAGCGAGGCCGAGAAAACATTTATTCTTCATGGCGTGGAGGTAATTATAAAAGCAATTTTAACAAATGCTTAAACAAATTAAATCTTATGTCGGCAATAGGAAGATTTTCGTGTAGACGGGCGTTCTTGTCGTGATTACCGCCCGATGGAATTGGAAACGGAGCTAGTAAATAATGCCAGCGGCTCAGCGCGTTTAAGATTAGCAAATACCGATATTTTAGTGGGAATTAAAACTGAAATTGATAAACCTTCTATTCAATTTCCTGAACGTGGAAAAATTGAGTTCTTTGTTGACTGGTCAGTTACTCTTTGCTAGCAGGTTATTAAAAAATTGCATAAATTTTTATGAACAGTTCAGCCAACGCAGCACCTGAGTTTGAAGGCCGCGGTGGCGAAGAATTAGCCTTGGAATTAGCTGACACATTAGCTAACGCGTATGAATCTTCTTTGGCTTTTGATTTAAAAGATTTGTGCATTCTTCCTGGTCAACAATGTTGGAAACTATACGTTGATATATTGGTGAGTTTGAGTCTTTAAATGAGTGAAGCACTTGTAATATTAATTTTCTTTGAAGATTTTGGAATGTGGTGGTAATCTGTTTGATGCTGTCTCTCTAGCAGCAAAAGCTGCCTTGTATAATACAAAAATACCGCGTGTTACTTCTGCTCTCATGGATGCCGGAGAAGCTGACCTAATTATTAGCGATGATCCTCACGATTCCACACGTATAAAAATTGATCATATACCCATACTGGTAACTGTTTGTAAAATTGGCGACTGCTGTGTGGTAGATCCTTCGGCAGAAGAAGAGGAATGCAGCACAGCATCAATAGTGGTAGCAGTGTCCCGTCGCGACGATTCAAGTAAAAGTGGAATTAGAATTATTTCAGATTTTATTTTAAATGGACTGAACATTATTTTTTTAATTTTCCAGCTTTCATTTCGCACACTCATACAGTAGGTCATGGTTCTTTGCACAAGGACACAGTTTTCAATTGCCTGAAACTAGGAGTACCCGTGGCCGAACAGCTTAACGAAGCTTTAATGAAAACTTTAATACTGGAAGAAAGCGTACTAGGCATGCAAAAAAATAGGTCTGTTGGTTTTTTGAAGTAGTACCATTTACCAAAAACCAACTTTAAATCATGCCTCAAATGTTTTATTAGAAATGTTTTTATAATTTAAAATTTTTCTATAAAATACACTTTTTTTGTTTAGCTCAATATCTTAATCTAATGCTATTTCTCTATTAACGTGTAAAGACTAATTTCTTTTTTTGTTCTGTTTATTGGAAGTGCTGGGTTTTGGTTTTTCTGGAGGTTTCGCGCCAGTAAAGAAAGACGTTATCATTTCGCTAATTTCTGGCATATCGTTGTTAATTTTGGGGAATGAAATACTTTCCAGTTCTTTCTTTGTCTCAGGGTCATTTATCATTTTTGGCAATACTAACAGCAAGAACAACGGCAAGATCATCATTAAAACCATAGGACTGAACAGGAAGTCAGTTATCTGATAATGCAAGAGAATAAATGAAATAAAATATTAGAATTTATTCCACCAAGAATTGTTCACGCATATGCAAACCTTCCATTGTTCGCGAGTTTGGAAATATTGGTATTTCGTCAACGGCTTCAATTTCAAAGGATAAGGCACTTGTATAACTTGCGAGGGCTGTATGTAATTAACTTTACGTGCTCGAAATTTGCCTTTCGGATTAATTTCGACACGCACTGCTTCGTAGAAATAATCAGCATTATCAATTTCGACTACATAACTGCCGGACGGAATGCCGCTAATAATAAATGAACCGTCTTCCCTTAGAAAGCCTTTGTATTCGCCGCCATTAATTGATATGGAAGTGTCGATTTGCCATTTGCTACCCCTTCTAACTGTTTCTGCGTTGTCATTGTAGTTCAAGGCTGCATAATTGTCTGGTGGATAAACTTTACCTTCTATGGTATACAAGTTAATTTCTTCCTAAAGAAAAATATAAAATAGAAGAAATAAAGGATGGCACAAATGATGTTCAAAACGGAAACTACAAGTACAAACCACTATTTCATCCTGAATAACTGTTTCGGTTTTTATCATATTTATTAGAATAAAAAGTAATCCAAATATTAGTATCATCTTTAATGTCATTTCTTTTTCGCAAATTTTAAAAATAAATTAATTTTTCTTCCCCAAATATTTTCTATTTTTTTTTTTCTCTTCTTTCTATTCAATTAATGATGTCAACCGAACGTTTTGTTTTGGCATTAAAGTAAAGTAACGTTTTGTTTTGGCACTAAAGTAGTTCGTGCCCACTTTTCGTATTTATTATATATTAATTAATTAACCAATTAAATTCTTAGCGCAACACAGATGAAAGTGGATCCCATTATCGTATTAAGCGTTTTCTTATAGTTTCTGCATTTTCGAAACTCCTTTGAAAGCAGTAAACAGCATTTGGATATGAAGGAAAAGTGAAAAGCATACAATATGGCGTTTTTTTTCAAAAATGTCATATTCCTTGAGGTATCGCTTTTAAGAGTTCCTGATTTATGCATATAAAAAACCAGCGAAGTTTAAAAAGTGACTTGTAAAATACATTTTTTTAAAAACTTCATACTTTGCGACGCATTTCGTTCGTAATTTGGAACTTTTCGTATCACTAACGCAAATCTTTTGAGGTTATAATAGAACCTTTAAGAATAAAAGCAGAATATCAGAACAATATATCATATTTGAACATATTTTATATATATAGTAAAATATAAACAATAAAAGCGTTTGAATTTTTAAAGCAAATGCCTACCTTTCTATTTTTTTTTTACTTACACATCAAATTCAACTAAAATTAATGGACAGTCGAATTAAATTAAGACTTAGATATAATTCTTATACTAAATATTATTAATAACTATTACAAAGCATATAAGGAAAGGTTAGAGAAACCATAATATATAAAAAATAAAATTGATATATAAACCAGTAAGCACATTATAGTCGGTAAACGATTACTATTACGTACCCTACATCACTTTACCTAGTACAGTTGCAGTACGCTCGTTTTGGCAATAATATTCCAAAAAGTACACGTTATTTTCACGCAAAGCGATCATTGTCATGAAAGTTCGGTTATTGGAAGGTTAGATTTTCTCTCCAAATAAGAATTTGCTTTTTTTGATAGAGCTTATTTATGTTGAGGTCCAAAGGAAATAGATCTATGTGATCCTAATTCACTACCGTTAATTTTTTTGGTGAAACGCTACTGTGAGTTATTTTTCATCATAAAATATTAAAAATTAACCCCTATTTTCCGAAGGACTTATTACTCATGGGACATCTTATATGAAGTGACAAATACAAAAAGTAGACCCATGTGGTTCTAAATGTGGGCAATTAATTTTTTTATTTAATTACTATTGTGAACAAGTTTTCATCACAAACCAATTAACAATTAGGCTGTTTTGGCATATAAGAGTTTACGTTTCGTTAGAATCCTTACATGCGGTGGTATCCGAAATATAGAATTAGTTGGTCCATATTCGATAAGGCAGATTTCTTTGTCGAATTACTATTACGAGCTAATTTCACCATGATATATTGGGAATTCGACCTCTTTACCATCTAAAACTTTCATTTCTGTGAGAAAGATTATATTTGAGTTGGTTCAAAAAATTGCCACACTGGAAACAAATTCTTAGAGTGTCCAAATACTATTACAGAACGAGTTTTGTCGAGAAATATCGAAAATTGCAAATTTCTTCATATAACGACTTTTTAAAATAGGGCATTAAATGGGTAGTGGTGGAAAAAGTGGACCGATCCACACCATTTTCAGCAGCATGAGACCTTGGGTCAAAGCAGGCCATCGTTCCACAGTTCATCAAAATATCTCAAAAATTGCGACCTGTAGCTTGAACAAATGTACATGGACGAACCTCAGTAGAACAGACGACCAGACAAGACTAGATGGATTCGTAAACTGTTTCAGAAATTCGTGTAATTTTAACAGTATGGGAGAGTGTATTTAACAGCCGTTCCGCCTACGTGATTCCAGAAAAACGATAGTTACCAAACCAACTGAAAATGGTAAACAAAAGTTCCAAGATTCGAGTTCGATGTGAACCCCTAAGCCAATGCAAACTTGCAAAAGTTTGACAACCCATAATTCATTCAAATTGAAAAGCCTGTGACTATACCACAGGACTAAGCTTTAGGAATATAAAGTTTCTAAAGTTTATAGACCATCTGATAGGGCACTAGTTTGTTGAGATTGTAAACAGTTGTCTAAATATATTTACATTAATATATAATAACAACAGTAAATTTCTTTTTTAAAAAAAGCCCTATTTTTCTTCTCGTAATGATTGGTAATTCAAGTTGATAAACAATATATAATTTTTTTTTTTGGTATGTTGAACAGAGATGGACTAAGCCAATACCATATCAAAATATAATTCAGTCTTCTGATATTCAATATTTTTTACTTAACCCAGTAAGCGATTTGTTACTGATTTGCTAACTCGCAGTGTTGCAATAGAGATGGAGTAGATTTGTTTAATGTACATATACACACGTGGAAGAATTAACACAACTCTTTGTTTCTACAGGAATTTCTTGTTCTAAAATGAGAAAAAAAGCTAATTTTGGCAGGCTCTTACGGATATCTTTCAACATATTTGACATAATCACTGATGAAAGCATTTTTCGTCCGGTTCGTAGCACGCTTGTTATTAAGTAGCGATGAATAGTTGCGAAATAGATTTTTATTTCCTGTTTTTATACATTGTACTTACGGAGCTATTATCTACTATATATCAGTTTTAGCTGTTTTCCAATAAGAATGCATTTTTTTTTATAGTGTGAATTTCATTATTACCTTTTTTGCACGAATTTTTTTTTGTAAAATGTTACGAGTATTTTCATTTTGCAGTACTTTTTAAAATTATGGAACATATCAAATTCACCATTTGACCCTATATATTTTTACACGATCTTTCTTGCACTATTTTCTATGGAACCTACCTACCGTGCAAAAAAAGAGTTGAGTATGTATATCTATAATTTCCGAAAGGCTTTTGCTTTATGCCTTACATTTAATATAAATTCTATGAAAAAACGTTAAATAATATAATGAAGCCATTGTCATGACTACTGTTGACTACTGTTACTTTATATATATATATTTTTCTCTTCTGCTTTTGGTTTTAACCGCTTAAATTGATAACTGATTGTAATCATATATAGCTTCCTCTTTCTTATGCACACAAAGCAGGCATGCGAAGTATATGGTATCTCTTCGTAGGCTATCGGTAGCAAAGTTTCAAACCTTTGCTAATTGTATTTAATAATATTTTTAAAAACTTTTTACTCTTACCTTTTTTTAATCAATCAGTCATTTACTCTTTTCATGAATATTAGTCAAAATATAATAAATAAATATTTTAATTAGACAATGAATTATAAGCTACAAAAATCAAATGAAAATGGGAGTTAACAACCATTATCTGTGCGGCTAAGTGCACTAAGAGAGAAATTAAATATGAAGCAAAAAAAAAAGGGAAAAGAAAACGGTTTTAAATACGGTTAAATGTGTACATGTGTTTGAATGTTGTAACAAGCTTCAAGTTTAATGTTATATAGCCTTTAGTTTGTTTAGTCTGTTTAGTGGCTCAGTTAAGTCGGGTCTAGTAAAAAGAAAGGTTGTGTATGACGGTTTAAAACGGTTAAACAAGTTTAAAATCAGTTTGTCAAGCACATGCTATGAAAATATTTTTTAATAAGCATTCTACGTGTTCCAAACCTCAACAATAACAACAAACGATTAAACAGTGAGTGGTGACTTGAAAGAAAGAGAAAAAAAAGAATTTTTATAATTTAAGAAATTAAATTATAAATGTACGCCAAACTGTTGATATAGAAAATAACTTGGATGATGTTGCTGGTATTGGAAAAAGTGAAACTTGCAAGAATGCAGTTTTTGCCTATATGTCCACACAACTAGAGGGCGAGACAAAAATAACAAACAGAAAAAAATCAAGTTTAATTTTTAACCAGTTGAAACTACGATGCCAAATAAATACCGACTGCCTGTAAACAAATAACTGGTTGGGTCGTATTGCTATTTAAGCGATAATACGTTGCTTAGGCGAAAAGAAAAAAACAAATGCCAAATACAAAAAATGTCCCGCTCCGCTCTTTTTTCCTCTCATGAATATCGATAATCCTTAGCTATTTGTTGTGTTTTACTTTCATACATATTAAAAAACAAAATTTATAATAACTCGTTACTATACTTTTCCTTTTTTTTTTTTTCTTAATTTATTGAATTCGAAATCTTCATTCATCATAATGATGTCAAATGCGCGCCTGTACGGAGATATTTTTTTGTTTGTAAACTATTTACAACACCTGCATAACTTGGAATATGCTACATGCTGGCATGGGGTAGCATGCGACAAACAAGCTTACATTTTTTTTGCTTAATTTATGTTTTTATTAACGATGAATTTTTTTTTTTATCGCATTGATAACTATTCCATGTGTAGTAGCGAAAGATTCCTTTGCTTACTTTGTATTATGAGCTTTTATGATACGGCTGACTATGCGGGAACGGATGCCTGCATATTAATATGATCAATTAAGTATTTGTCCGACAATATGGTTGACTTTTTGTTTTACTTCTCCATCTAATGTGATATGTATAATGAAATTACCATTGTAATTAATTGGTTTGATTTTCCGCTACTTCTGTTGCCTTCACCATTGTTTAAAGTGAAGGCAGCACTGATATTGAACTAATCAGATATTGCCCTGTATAAGGGGACTTCCTTTAAGAGGGCTTGCCTAGTTTCGGCGTTCTAATAAAAATCAAAAAATGGTTTTTACTTATCATCATTTTCAAAAAGATAGATATGAAATCGTTTGCTGGATTAATGAACGTGACATTCTTTTGCCAAGTCGTTAAGCATTGACTGGTAGTAAAAAAAGTTAACATGTATGTATACGCGTACACAGATAATTGTTGTAATTTTATGTTTCGAAACTTGTCATTCACATGAAACGTTGTTAATTGAAGTTGAAATAGTTTTGACCCAGTTACGAACATATTCATAAATTTTTAATTTAGTTAACAGAATAACTAAATATCTTCTGCGTATTCTTTAACAAATTAAAATAAGGACAAGTAAGAACACTTATATTGAACTAATACTTTACTACTTTAAACTAATATATAAAAATATTAAACTATTTTTCATCAATTCAAGGCGTGGAACGCTAAAAAGAGACAGACAGATGGCCAAGACAAATCGAACAAAGATCAATAAGATAAGATAAGGAAATTATGTTCGGCTGCGACCGAATCTTTTATACCCGTCACCGTCATCCTTCTTCTTGTGAACGGGAAAATATTTGCCACAGATACCTAACAGTTTGTCAGATGGATAGACGGACATATGAGCATGCTTAGGTGAATTTGAGTTCCGAATTAGACACTAGTCAAAAATTAATCCACTACGTCGAAGTTAACGCCCACGATAGTTAATTTAGAATTAACAGATTTAGCTTGTCGCGTTCTACTCCTCAAAGCCTTTTATTTAATACCTCATTGGCTGCACTGTTAAGAAAAAACCAATCCCACACGTTGCGTGGTCAGCCCTATTTGTTTTAAAACTAACACATTTTTAGACAGAAAATATATCTTTCTAAGAAGGGGAGATGAGAAACAGTAGTAGCTAATGATGGACTTTGAACGAAATTTTGAGTAAAATATACTGTAAAAATTTTTCTCAACAAAGCTTTAAAGATAGCAAAAGAACCACTCGAAACTTAATTGCACTACGCAAATGAAAATGGAAAAAATTGTCCACGTTTATCCAATATAATAAATGATATCGACGGGATTTCATTCTTTTATTCATTACAACTTACACCACTTGTGGCACAGGGTACATTAAGTTGTTTAACACCCGGAGGGGCTTAAGATAGACCTAACTTTTATATATCCATCTATACAGAATTATTTTAAGAAAACGCTTGTGTGCCCCTTTGTCCATCTGCCTGTCTGATATTTGCCTATGTATTTTTCTGTTCAAGCTAAGTCCCAATTTTTTAGGCATCTTGACGAAATTTCGTATATCAACAAGCTTTAATGCTAAGTAACAGTATTTCGATTTGTGGCAGCTTTTTGAACCCTCCCTCATACAACCGTTCATAGGACAACGGGACCTTTCTAAAATTGACCCATAATAATAAATCAACTTTGCCGAATTTGACGTCGTGGGTTTATTTTTTGAATGCCAGCGCATATAAGGATTCTAAAGAAATGCAGAAAGGCCGATGACTTAAGGTTTATTCATTATTGTAATTCGACATAGAAACCAAATTTGGACCTTATGGGTATATTTCTTGGACTCCATTCTGTGTAAGATTTCTCACGAATAATACCCGCATCAAAAAAAAGTTTAATTTTTAATGTTTTTGGATGAAAATTAGTCCCTGGTAGCGATTAAGCAAAAAAAATGAACGACACGGACAATGTAGACTTATTTTTTTGACTCTAACATGTGTAGAAATTAACATGAAAATTAAACCCTTATATGGGAAGACGGTCTAATCTCTAGTTCTATATGACTCCATAAATTTATATATATAGAATTTTTGGAAAGCAAATTAGGTTTGCCAAATTTGGATCACATTACGTAACATTTTGGACATCCTCCAATATACCGACTTTCGTGAAGTATGCATTTGCATGAAAATAATGTGTAGACAGGTGTACTAGGCGAAGTGATGTAGGATATCTAGTGACCGGCCTGGCCCGAGTATAATGTATTTACTTGTTTTTTAATTAAGTTGAATACAATCCTCTTACTTGTTACACATATGTGCGACAATTTCTAAGAAACTTTTTTTGTAATTATTTTTCTAAAACGCATTTTTTCAGTTAACCATAAGTAATTTATAGGATGCGATGATGAATGTTCTGCATGCATCGGTTTAATGCCATTGAAATGCCTACACATGTGACTGAGAGAGCATTTGGGAAAACCCATTTTTTGTAGGACGCATGCATATTAAAAAAATATATATTCTTAATGACTATACGTTAACCATCACAGTGAACGTAAAAAGAACATTAAGAGTTTAACAAAGAATTTTGGATAAATTTTTTTTTGTGAATGACTTTCATCCTAAAAATGTATACATATAAAGTTATGTATCATGTGCTCATGCGTCACTGTGTACTTTTAACTAAAGACTTTTGTGCTAACTTAAACACATCAGACTTACAAAGGTATATTACGTACATATATACGTAAACGATACGATAACTGGATGTGTATTTTACTCAATATTTCGAATCAATTTTTAATACATTATGGATGCATATATATACCTAACTCTTTCTAATCAATTTCTATGAAAATAAATAAACTTTTTGTTTTTAATTGACACGCAAAGCTATTTACTGGGTCAGTGTAAATATTTTTAAGCATGTTCATGTGTATATATTCTGGTGTGCAACAACAGGTCAAATATTTTTAAATTTCTGACCTAAACCATAAAGCAATGAGTAACAGATTTGCGGTTTATACCCTACATCACTTATGCTACTGGTATATATTAAGTTTGTGCGCATATACGTAAAACCAGAACGGCTTAGGATTCATCCATCTTTCATTACATCGATTGATTCAGAATCATTTTTTTACTCTATCCAAGCTTGTTTGTCCATCTCTCCGTCTTGTTTTCTTGTGTTCGACCTCCAGGAAGCAATTTTTGAGGAAATTTGAGACAATGAAATATTTTGACTCACACTGACGAACCCTATCGTAAAAGGTTTGGATCCGGCTATTTTTACGGCCTCTTCCGGTGGAACACCTCTTTTTTTGAAAAAGAAAGGAAATTTTGGTTTTCAAAGCTTCTCCCCAAAAATCACTGAGTAATAGCATTTCCGCATTCTAAATTGATGTGAGAAATGTAGATCGGATAAGCCGATGTTTTCTTCCGATGTAATCTTTCCTACGAAAAGTAAGCCTTTATATGGAACAACGGTCTAATTTGTAAGATTACACAGCCACACTAGGTCCATATTAACAAATCTATTTTTTGTAAGTCGCGCTGTGCAAGGATTCTGATCAATGACAAAAAGCTTAAGTTCTTTATAAACACACGCCTTTAAATAGAAACGGAGTGAAGGTTTTGAATTGAAATTTTAATGAACAAAATAAAAGAAGAATTGTGCTAGTAGTTTAGAGTATGTAATGTTGTTTCATTAATACTTTACTATTACAATTTTTCTCGACGAATAGTGCACCAGTCTAGATAAAGTAATGTAAGGTAACAAAAGGTCGGCCTTGAGCGACTATAATATTCGTACTAGTCCTTTACTATTAAAAGTTCTTTCATCTAATAGCAGCTTTACAAATTTTACAATAAATATCTTCTGCACTTTTACAATTTTGATTATTATGATCAGTTTTATTATCAATAGCAATAGCATGTTGCTATTACTTAAGGCTGCTACCTATTTTAATGCCTTTAGATGAGAAGCGAGTACAGGAGGGCCCTTTTTTTTTGTTTGTTCATAGCTAACTGTTTACGTTTTTATTATTAGCTGTTGAAAGCTTTTTCTATACATAGAATTATATATATGTGTACACGTTCCCTATTAGAAACAATTTTGTCAAAAAAAAACCAACACAAATAGCTCGCATAGTTATAGATAAAGAGAATACCAAAATAGAGGCCAAATTAAATCGGTTTTCTTTCAAAAAGCAAAGTTTCTGCCATAATCAACTAAATTAAAAAGTAATTGTATTCACTT